AGAGGGCAAATGTTTTGAGATTGATGAGGGCAACAGGTGTACATAGGTGCTTGACTCAATGGATGTATGTATGGACTGTGATAAGAAATGTACGAGCCCTCAATAAAATAATTTTTAAAGAAAAGACTTCAGGCAGTATTTTTAGTTTAGCATATAAAGATTATCTCAGGCCAGTAGTTTTCAGGGGTTCATCCTCTAACAAGTCTGGATGCTATGAGAATATTAAATTTTGTTCTACATTGTTACCCCTTTTGATCAGGATTCATCTATAGACTCTGGTCAAAATATTTAATAATGACAGTTATTCAGGTCTTATGCAAAGGATGCCGTTGTCCAGTAAACATTCCAATAATCCAGTAAACATTCCAATAAGTGTCTTTGGGTACGTGTATGCATGCGTTTCTATTGAGTATATACACAGGATTAGAGTTCTTTGATCAATGGTGGGGGGATCATACTCCATTTTAGTATGACAAGAGTGTGTGTGAAGAACCTCCTCCGGCTCCCAAGACAGATTGCCACAAAGCAGAGTGGTCAGATGTCCCTCTACTCTCCTCCCTCTTTAACCTATTCTGACACCAACCATCCCTCCTGTGGCACTCTACTTCTTGGTGGGGTTCGATAAGTCCTTGCAATGGCCACAGGTGATCCTCACAATTATAGGGTTTATTAATGAAGTTAATTTGAATTATACTGGAGGAGGAGAATATTTGAAGTGTCATTGGCTCCTTCTGGACAACTCGTAGGAATGCTGCTTCAAACTGCCTGCAGCTAATTTCACTATGGAATTGGCCTACCACTTTATCCCCTGTGGCTTCACTCTTTCCCTAGTCAACCAGTATTGTGTTATTTGGAGGGCAAGTTGGATGGCCCTCTCGGGATACTGGTTGGCTTGTTGTGGGCCCACGAGAATGGTGCTATACTGGGTGATCTCACAAGAAGCCGTTATGGCGTGGCCCACAGCGGCTTAGGGCACCACAGGGCGTGCGGGGGTGCCCGCTGCAACAGGAGTGCCACATAAGTCCCTGCTTTGGTCTAGAGCACTTCGAATGGTGGGTGGAATTACCCTGGTCAGGTAGATCACTGCGGAGGTTGGGCAGAGGTTCCTGCTGCAACGTGGAACATTGGCGAGTGTTGGCAGAGCTGCCTTAGGCCGTGTGAGGCACTGCGACAGGAGGAAGTTCCCTCAGTCACTTGGGACCTCAGGTGACAGATAGGAGCTCCCCCAGCCACACAGGCAGGATTTCCCCCAAAGAAGGTGGATGGGATTTCTCGACCAAGTGTCAAGCACTGCAGAGTGCAGGTGGGCAGAATTTCCCTGTCAGAATTTGGGCAGGATATCCCCTGGTAGAGGGTGGGCGGGCTTTCCCCAACCTCTGTTAGGCTGCAGAGGGTAGAGCTCTCCAGCTGGGTGGAGGGCAGATGAAAATGCCTTAGGCTAAGGGAAGTGGTCTGGGGGTGGAAATGAGAGAAAAGGGAAGAGAAATGGAAAAAGAAACTAAGCCCACTGAGACTGGGGAGTTAGAGAAAAGTAAGGGAAACAAAAGTAACAATATAGCTGAGCCCCGAGGCAGCAGCAAGCAGTGGCTGTTTTAAGATAGAGCCCCTGCACGGCCCCAAATGATCTCCGTTCTGGGGGAGACAGTGGCGGAGCCAAGGTCAGATTCTAGCCGGCCTCCACTGTGGTAAGTCAAAAGCCCCAGCCCCTCAAAACCTAGTGGATCTGTGCCTACTTATCTTTATGATGCTCCTCCTGCGATGCCTCAGTGTGGGATTTCCCTCTTAGTAACTCTCCTGCACTAATTTCTGCGGAGTCCTGGTATGTGTTACTCAGTCGCCATCTTCCCAGAAGTCCCTGGAAGTGCCTTTTAAATCTGTTATTTTATGGTACTGTTAAAGATGTTACTAAAATTTTGGAACCCATGTAGTAAGATATAATAAGATGGTTAAGATATGAGACAACAATGGTATTTATTTCAGTAATTAATTTGGTGTGTGTATTTCAAGATACCGCTGCATTGTGTATGTGTGCCTGTGCAATTGTGTGTAAAACTGCACACATATGTAATAGTAGACTAAAAAAAACCCAACTCACTGTCATTGAGTCAGTTCAGGTTCAAAGCAACCCTATAGGACAAAGTAGAACTAAAGGCCCCAGTAGGTTTCCAAGACTAATGTATTATAGGAGTAGAAAGCCAAGTCTTTTTTCCAAGGAGCAGATACATATATTTACAGATGGATGGATAGAGAGATAGATTATACTAGTAGCCCCTATACATTTTTCATTATCTTTCTTATAAACATGTAAAAATTTTATAGATGAGGAACCAGGTTTGAAGAAATTGTATTAGTCCAGGTTGACTACAAATCCAGACATTCACATAAGTGTAAAAGAGGACTTTATATCAAGAAGTAATTAGGCATCAATAAAACAGCCCAGTCCAGATCAAGTCCCTACGTTTGATATTAG